TAATGCATTCAATGAATGAGTTCTATTTTAAATTATATATATATATATATATATATATATAAAACATATATTCATATGCATATATATATATACATAAACATATATTCATATACACATATATATATATATATATATATATATATATATATATATATATATATACATAAACATATATATTCATATACACATATATATATATATATATATATATATATATACATACATAAACATATATATTCATATACACATATGCATATATATATATATATATATATATATACATACATAAACATATATATTCATATACACATATGCATATATATATATATATATATATATATATATATACATAAATATATATTCATATACATATGCATATATATATATATATATATATATATATATATATATATATATATATATTCATATACACATATGCATATATATATATATATATACATAAACATATATATTCATATACACATATGCATATATATATATATATATATATATATACATAAACATATATATTCATATACACATATGCATATATATATATATATATATATATATACACACACACACACACATATATATATATATATATATATATATATATATATATACACACACACACACATGCATGCATGCATACATACATACAAGGTTTGCCTACGATCCAGTTCATTTTGAACAGAAGTAGAGGTTTATCCATTCTTTCCTGTTAAGGATTGGGTTTCCAGATCCTTTTAAAATTTTTCCTTCTCTTCCACTTCCAGTAGTTCCTTGCATCTTAGTGGTATTTTGCCTTGCTTGGGTTGAACAGAATACACACACACACACACATATATAATAATTATACATTTTGCTCCTGTTTCATGCACACGGCAATTGTCAGAATCCATGCCTGCTGATTGCCATGTGCATGAAACTCAGAATTATACCAAACAATGAGAAATAAAATGTATATTTATTAGTAGTACAAATTTTAGCTGTTATTTTACATTGAGCACTATCTTATTACCACCACCACCACCTAGTGTGAGCTATTTCATATTTAAGGCAAATATTATGAAAAATAACTTGCCTATGTCACAACACTTACTAGTTCTAAGAAAGTCACCAACTGTCTCTACCTACCTATACTATTTACATGTGCATGTGTTTTTAAGACTTTTTAATGGGCAAATACTACACTGATTCTGGGCAGAAGTCCAAATTCATGCACGAATAATAACTGTCATTTTTTTATGGGTACTATGCTATCGAAAGAAATAAGACAGTTCACTAGAATTGGTTCCACCCACAGAACGGTTTTCAAACCCATCTCAACAGTGCCACACACTGAAATCATTATGAAGAAGTCACCCTCCTAACATATCTGCCCTGACTCAAACCATGGTCTTATGGATTTAAGGCTAAAATCCTAAACATTTCTAGAATAATTTCCAATTCTAACCTTTACAGCTAAGATCTGCCATGCCACACACACTGCAGCAAACTACTTCCCTTCATATTCCATTGGTGACATGTAAGTTGCACATCTTCATAAACTACTTATCTCTTACTCTGTAATCCTCTACCTTGAGTGACTCTTAAGTCTTTTACAGTATGAACATTATTGTAAAAAATTAACTTTACCATGTGTCCAATAAACAATAATTAGTGATAAATAAAAACATCAAATTAAGTTTTCAAAAAAGTAAATAATACATATTACACTAATAAAAATGATTCAGTATTTTGTATTAGTTCCTTTTTAAAACAGTCAAAATTCATTTCAGTAGAGAGGAATATAAATTCAAAAGGAAAAGAATGATCAATATTTGCTCACTTAAGTCTTTGTGACCTCCCACAGCTGATAAGTAATCTCCGGACATTTAACTTTTCCTTTTTGTACACTGTAATAAATTTCTATAATATTTAAGTCAGGAGACTGGCATCAACTATTTTTAAAATGTGTGATACATTTTCTTTGAAATTATTTATGATTAACTTTGAAGTCTGACAGCTCACACCATCATGTTGAAAAATGTATAAATTATCAGCTAAATCACTTTTCTAACCACTGTCCTATAAAAGGAGTTCTAAGTAAAAACACACAGACACCTTATTAGTTTATTTTGATCAGGAGACTGTTTTGAATTCCAAATACTGAATATATAATGTGATAGACCAGTTGCTGCTTTGAAACTAACAAAACCTCCATTGAATGACCTTGGGGTCAGGAAAGCTTTCAAGGATTAAACATTATTACCATTCACTTAAAGCGCCCCAGCAATACCTTATAATATCATTCAGTTCTGTTGATTTTTCAATCACAGAACTTTTCAGATCTTCATAGATTTCCTCTTGTATAATTCTTGCAAGTCTTCATAATTTTCTATTTTATATTCAAGAATTCAGATGTCATTTTTTTCTGAAACAGAAACTTTAATTTAATGATGTCAACTTTGTAAATTAATTGACCAGATGACTACATTAAGACATTAAGACATTAATTAACATTCTGTTACAAATTGTTCTTAGATAAATATGCAGGTACATGTAGACAAACACACACATTCACATACAGACTACTATAGCTTAAGTTTTGTAAATATATATATATATATATATATATATATGTGTGTGTGTATTGTGTATTTAGGCAGCATTCCTTCATTTATACATGTTTCATTAAAGACGACAGACAAGGTACTACAGTTAAGCTTTTTATTTAATTTTTCTTGTGTTTGAACAAGTCCTTTCTTTTCTGGACACAGACTGTGTAGAAACTGACCAAATGTTCTGTAATTCCAAGCGCTTTCGGCTATACTTTTAGCTATTATCAAGGACTAGCAGTATAACCAGTCTTTCACTGGGTCTTTCATTACTGGGGATTTTTGCAAATCAATTGGAGCAGTTTAAATTTAATTCATCCCACCCCCAAAAATCAATACTAGTAACAACATTTGGGTGCAACTGAGGCACATCCCCAAATGAGGGGGTAACAATGCGGGGGGGCTGAATTTAGAGATTCTTGATAAAATCCAAAGAAGACTCAGCAATATTATTGATCCTGACCTGACATCTCAGCTTCAGTCACTTTCCCACCACTGAATCACAAATTCTGCATGCCCTTTCAGTAAATACTTTTATAGTAATTGTTTGGATGATCTCTTCGTATTGACACCTAGACTTTATGAATTTAAGCGCAGTATGAGATTGCCGGTAAGGTCGCATAAATTCACAGTTGAATTGACTCAATGTAACCATAAGTTCTATGCTAACAGTTTCTTTTCTCACACTTCTTACATGTGTAACTCTCTTCCAGCTCCATGCTTTCCAGCCAACTTTGATCTTCAAAAATGTAAATGCAATGCCAATTATTATCTAATGTATTTATGATTACTATTCTATTGTTCTTGCTCCTTAATAATGTTTCTCTTTTTTCTTATTCTTTCACACTCAGTAACCACTTGTGTCTTAGTGGCTTTATTGCCTTTCATGGGGTGGATACAGATATTTACTATTCCTAAATTCCACTATGCCAAGGCCACAGCCACAATACAGGAGAATGAAACAAAGGGCAACTCACTAACAATAACCAGTGAAATCTTTTTATAAAATTGCTCTATGGCCAGCTTTTTTAGTAAGTATATATTAAATTCAACACTGACATAAGAAAATATCAGTGGAACACCCAGCAAAATCTGAAATTGCTGTTAATGGCCTTGAAGATGTTTCATTTTCAGACAAAATCAGTCAAATCATTTATAATTCAATGTTTTTTGTTGCATTCTCTTATAAAAACAACCTATGACACAGTGCCATGGAAAAAGAAAAGAGAAAACAAAGAAGAAATAAAGATGAATAAATAAGGAAGAAAAAACAAAGAGGACAATGAGGAAAAAAAAGAAGCTGTTAAGATGAATATATCAGAAAAAAAAGTTAAGAAATAGAAATGAATTAACAAGAAATAAAACAAAAGAAAAAGAAAAAGAAATAAAGATAAATGAAGAAAGTAGAAAGAAAAACAAATTAATAAATATGGCTGAACAAGAAATAATGGAGAAGGAAGAAGGAGAAGAAAAAGATGGGAATAATGAAGAAAGAGAAGAAAGAAGAAAGAATAATGGAAAAGAAAAAGAAAAAAGAAAGAATAAGGAAGAAGAAAGAAGAAAAAAGAAGGAATAAGGAGAAGAAAAAGAAGTAATAATGGGGAAGGAACAAGAAGAAGAAGAAAAAGAAGGGAGGAAGAAGGAGGAGGAGAAGAAGAAGAAGAAAGAGAAGGAAGAATGGAGAAAGAATTAATAATGGGGGAAGGAACAAGAAGAAGAAGAAAGAAGAGAAGAAGCAGGAGGAGGGAAAAAGATGGAATAATGAAGAAGAAAGAATAAATAGAAGGAAAAATGAAGGAGAAGAAAAAAGAAGGACTAATGGAAAAAGGACAATAAGGAGAAAAAAAAGAAGGGATACTGGAGAAGGAAGGAGGAGAAAAATGAAAAGGAGTGATAATGGAAAAGGAAGAAAAAGGAAAAGAAAAAAGAAATAATAGAGAAGGAAGAAGAAGGTGAAAAAAGAAGGAGTAATGGAGAAAGAAGAAAGACTATAAAAAAGAAGGGAGAATATAGAAGGAATAAGAAAAGAATAATTGAAAAAGAACAAGAAGGAAAAGAAAAAGAAGAAATAATGAAGAATGAATAAGAGAAGAAAAGATGAAAAAATAAAGATGAGTGAACAAAAAAAAAGAAGTCAAGAAGAAGGAAAATAAAAAGAAATAAAAATGAATGAAGAAAATGAAATGAAAAAGAACAGAAGCTTACCGAAGAAAAAGAAGAAAAGGATTAAAAGAGGAAAAACAAAGATAACTGAAGAAAAAGAAGAAAAAGAAAAATAATGACGAAAGAAGAAAAAGAAAAACTAATGGAAGCAAAGAAAAGTGCCGAAGACTCCTAAGTAAAGCCATTTGGCATCAGACTGCGGAAATCTTACAAAGTATACCAAAGATTGCTGACCTTCATTGGAATTCCAGTGACAGTTGTTGAAGACAAATCATAATGTTGCTGTACAAGAGCTGCTAATTTGAAATAGAGATTGCGGCCAGCTTGAGCAACTCGTACTTCAGTTGAAAGCAAAGGAGAAAGCTGAAGAAGAAAAAAAAACAAAAAAAAAAAAATTCATAAACTATATTTTCCAGAATATAAAAATACGTAAAAGACATACTTGGGCAAAATACATTTAATGTTCATTAATAAATTCCAACATTCAAGAAGGTAACATATAAATAGTTTTAATCAACAGGCTTATAAAGTAAAAAGGATTTGGGGAAGAAATATTCAGAGCTCAATTATTGGCTGTCCTCAAACCATGACCTTTATGATAGAATTGGGTGGTAGACTTTCTGCAGAGTATAAGGCCACAGCCTGACCATACTAGGTGTTGTTACTTTGTGATCTGTAGTGAACAGGTTTTAACACATGAACTTACCAACTCAAATGGTTTTGACTTCAGACAGGTTGCAAATCATGATTAGACAGCTTAGTTTACCGTTAGTTGAAGGAAGAAGAGATGAATTTGTATCTTTCTCAAGTGCATTTGTACAAAAATCAGCTCTACAGCTTTGGTCAAAATATGGATTTGGCATGCTGATCCTGTACTAATAAACATTATGATGTCACATCTGCATCATAGAATACATCTGTAATATTATGGCTTGAACGCCCTGACAAGGAAAGTGTGATCTGATCTCGATTTCTTGAGTTTTTACCATTTTATGGCCAGTGGATTTTTTTTTTTTAAGTCAGTTTTATAAGCGGCCTACACTTAAGCAAAGAGGGACAAAAGAATACATAAGTGAAAGAAAACATTTGCAGTCAAGTGACAACAAACCAAATACAGATTATTTTTAGTTGCTGACCTATCTTAACAGTCATGCTTGGAATTTGATCAGTTCTAGTCTGCCTTTGGCAGGGAAAAATCTGTCCTTTATATCGTTCCAATACTGCCCATTCATATTACCAGCCACATATCCAGATTTATAGATGGCCAGTTAGTTGGTAGAACATAAAAAACTGAGCTGTTAGACCGATATGAAAGAAGTTGTCCCTAGGTGACACCTACCCTCTCTGACCGTGCAAGCGAAGTCCTGAATAAAAATAACTACAATTAGAATTAGGGTCTCTGTGTTATCATTTCTTAATATGCCATTTGTTTTTACCATTGTTAGCTTGTAAACATGCAGAAGATTTTTCACAATTTTTGGTGCACACCGATGGGAACGAGTATCACGACACAACATGGTCAATTGGTGGAAAGCAGAACGACTATTGCATTGTATGTTTACACAGAAAATATATTTACTGTTAACTAGAAAAGGATTGTTCTACGTATGTATTTAGTATTATAGAATGTTTTATTTTTGTAGTTTAAATGAGTCTCTATTACTTGGATGTTGTTCGTACAATTCAAGAAACCACTGGTTCAATCCACCAGTCTTGCTTTCTGCACACTTCAAAACATAAACCCGTTCTTCTCTTCTCACTGTTTCAGCCCTCTTTTATCAGGCCAACACCACAGCTGACCAACCAATCAGCATTCTTCGCTTTTATTCTCAGTTACCCAGGCAAATAGCTTCCTCCAGTTTGACCAATCAGCACAGGACTTGCTATTGGTGGAAGCATGCCAAACTGTACAAAAAACTCTTGTTATCGCACATACTGCTGACGGGAGAGTAATGTCATTTTCAACAAGCAAAACTGCCGATGCCACATGTCACACGTTGAGATAAGACCCTTATTTTCCTTTGCACAAGCAAGCCACTCTGGCTCGCTTGCTTCTCTGTGACTGTTCACCACAACTTTCAAAACACAGTCAACATATTGTGTCCATGTTCATAGTTGATATTATTGAGTGTTTTTATTAATAAGGCATCCATTATTTTTAGCCTTTTTTTTTTACATGGAGACAATGCTGTTATATTTGTATTGTCAACACTAATTTTTATTACATTAGAAATATGTCTTATTACTATAAAAAATGTAACCACTCATATAGTGTAATTAATATCTACTGGCCTAGAACATCAAAAGAGTTATTATGGAAAAAGTGCATCTTAGCAGGAATTGAACCAGCATTCTCTTTTTTTCTGGGAAACCATCTTTTAACTAGGTATGCATTATCATTAGGCTATGGAGATTCCTCACAGTAAAACAAGGCTGGAGTAACCATTTTATTTTTTTTTTACCTTTAAATTATTTTCTGTTTTGGTTGTGAAAATATAAGTTAGCATATAGACACTGAAGAGCATCAATGAAAGATGTTTATTTCTTGAAAAGGGTAATTGAGCCTTGCCTTGCTGTAAGGGCCTCTGTAGCCTATATGGTAAAACATGTTTGGTATAAATATGGTTTCCCAGAACAAAGGGTATTCCTGCCGAGAGATGCATTTCCTTTAAGATTAGATGTCAATTTCACTATTTGTAAATAAGCAGGGATATTTCCTGAGACTCCACATAACAAATAAAATAACATTTATATCAATAAGTGATATTACCAGACTGAAATAATAATCAGAGTAACCTTCACAATTTTGCTGGATTAGGTGCATATTATGCCACAGAAGGAAAATGTAGCTGCTGATCTATTTTATTCAGGGTAGACATTGCCTACCTTGCCCACCTAGATGGCACATCCATTATATATATTTTCAAAAATAATGGATTCAACATAGATATAAAAAATAACCTAAACGAAGGCACATATAAACCATACAGAAAATCCAACGATAAACCACTCTATATACACACATCTTCCAACCACCTGCCTTCTATAATCAAACAGATACCCAAATCAATTAACAGCAGGCTTTCCGACAATTCCTCCAATGAATCCATATTTAACAAAGCTAAGAAAGACTACAAAACAGCCCTAAAAGATAGTGGATTCTCAGCAACACTCACATACTCACCACAGAGCACAAAAAAGGCCAACAGGAAAAGAAATATCATATGGTTCAATCCACCGTACAGCAAAAACGTACGAAAAATATTCTTCAAACTTTTACACAAACACTTCCCGGAATCAAGCACCCTACACAAAATATTCAACAATAACACAGTAAAAATCAGCTACAGTTGCACCGAGAACATGGCACAAATAATAAAAAAGCACAACAGGAAAATTATTGACAAACCACATGAACAAATTAAACCTATGTGTAACTGCAGAATAAAGAACGAATATCCCTTAAATGGTAATTGTTTACAAAACAACGTAATATACCAAGCCATGATAAAATCACCAGATAATGAAGGAAAAGTATACATAGGAGTAACTGAAGGACCCTGGAAACAAAGAAATTATGCACACAAAACATCTTTCACAAATAGTAAATACGCAACAGAACAATGCTTTCTAAGTATATCTGGGAAATTAAAAACAAAATGCACATCACACCAAAAATATCTTGGAAAATAAGGAAAAGATCATCAGCCCACAACAACCAATCAAAAACTTGCAAACTTTGCTTGGAGGAAAAAATAGCTATCATTACCTTCCCAGACCAAAATAAATTATTAAATAAAAGATCTGAGCTCATCTCAAAATGCAGACATGAAAACAAATTTTTACTATGTTACTTAAAAATGGAAAAATAAAAAAAATAAAATAAGTAAATAAATAAACAAAAGGACAATAAAATAAGTAAAATAACTTAACCCAAACAAATTACCAAATCACACCCGTTAGAATAGACGAAATAGAATAAATAAATAAAAAATAAAAACAAAATCAATGAACCCAAATAAAGTAAATAATGAACAAATTAACAAACCATTATGACCAAAATATTAGTTAGACTATAAAAATAAAACCAAAAATCAGACGAAAAACATAGCTATAACTATATGATGATAAAAAAGCTACATTACTTAAAAATCAAAAACTGAAAAGAGTAAATAAAAATAATATACAGTATAATAAATAATAAAAAATAAGTAAAATAAATTAATCTAAATTCATTCAAATAAATAAAAATTTGGTTCCGATGGTGATGGAACGTGGTGAGTTGGTACAGTTTTGCGTTTTGTGATTCAAATGATTTCAGCTCAAGTCCAGTGGCTTTCCTTCTTGTCTTGAGTTGGTCCCTGTATCTTTGAAGAGGACAATCCCATACTCTTTTCCCTGGGGTAAGATCTCACTGAATAATTGGATTTATTTCTTTATTATTAAGTGTCAATCCTTGTAGTTAATATTTGTTCTATATTGTCCTTAAAAGTCACCGAGATATATAAAAATGTCATAACCAGGTCAGATTTTTCATACTTTTTATTTCTTTCTTTTCATAAATTCAATTAACATAGGGAAATTATCGATGGAAAAATTCATGACTGAGGAAAGAAATCATTTGATGTTTGGTCATTGGGTCAGATTTTGGTCATTAGATAAAGCCGAGAGCTTTTCAGCTTAAAAATGATTCCAATAATAATTGCTCACCAATGAAGTCAAATCAATTATTCTATTTCCAGATTATTAGGTATTATTTGGCAATTAACTCAAATTGGTTTAATTATTGTCTTTTTGATATTTTTTTTTATTTTGGCCTAACTCAGGTGAGGCTTGCCTTTGGGATCAACTCGGTTGTCTCCTGACTCTGTGCATTCAGATACAGTGATCACCAAAAAAAAAAGAACATCTAAAAGCCAACCAGATGCTTGTCCAAGATGCAGTGCTACTGAGTTAATTTCCTCACTGTGTGCTTCTTTATTAAGCTTAGCAAATATCTACTTAGCCTCTGCAATAAAGCAAACATTTTGGTCATAAAGTGAAGAAAGCTCTCACTCACTGTCTAACAAGTGCACACCAGACTAAGCTTTTTAAACATTTACAATGAGAGCAATTGGTATAAACTGATGGCTAACAAGATCGTTTTGCGAATGATTGATAATTATATCACTCCTAAAATACACATTGTCACCTTGTATCTGTCTCCCTTAGCTGAAACGAGTAAATGTCTACAAATGATAAATTCTTCTTTTCACAGCAATGATCACCACTTAACAAAGAATTTAAAATCAAGATAGAATCGGGACAATTTATTTGAATCGGATGCCTATTCGCAGAATGTACATTTAATTAACTGATTAAAGGAGACACAGCAGAAAAGGGAAAACATTAAACACATCAGGAAATTACCAGATCCACTGGAAGTGCTATTGATCATAAATCTTGTTAATTGCTATTCTTATTTGGTCTTCTTTATAGAGGTGCTGACTAATTCACTTTAGCAGCTCCCCAATCAAAAAACAGTAAACTTCTAAGGAAAGTGTCAAACTCTTATGAAACTAAATTCTAAATGTAAAGTTTAACATCAAATTAAATGTAATTAAGGATTAGAACTTACTTAACTTTGACTTATACTTACTTTTCAGTGTAAAGAAGATTTGGAACTTTGCTTTATCACAAATGTTTTACAACTTCCATTTTAAGCAATTAAGAAAAAAGTCTTAGTAAGAATTAAACTTACAAATTTAATCAAGTCTTAACAATTTGTTGGACACTATTTTTTACTTATTTTTATTCATATTCCATGTATTTTTGAAAAATAAATCCTACAGGCAAGCACATTTTTTATTTGATGGCATATAGCAGTGGTTCTGAAACTTTTTTTCTCTGGGCTGCATTTTGGGAATGAAAATGTGATAAAAAGTACATTCAAAAATAAAAAAAAACAGAGAGAAGGTTAAAGGGAATTAACTGCAGATTCGAAGTCAGAACATTATCATTGATAACTCTCTCCCCCAACTTGCAGACACTAGTTACTATATTCTTAATACTTGATAGAATGCAAAAATATCCCAATGATAAAATTAGTCAATAATTATTTATAACTATTTATACTGGGATTCATGCATGCAATTATAAGTAATCCATAATAATATTTTAAATTTTGAAATCATATTTATTTTTGGCATATGAATTTTTTTAAACTTTCAAAATCTTTGATTGTCTTTCAATCATTCCACCTCACCTATGAAACATGTCACACCATTTGGAAAACTCTAGCATATAGCATTAGCTGCCATAAACAAATATGGTTCTTTGGTATTTAATATTCAACTCATGAAAAAATGTTGCCTAAGATCCTTTTCTAATAACAATAGAAAAGGTAAATAAGAGCGATTAAAGCTTTGTAATAATTTACAAAGTAGGAACTTTGACCTGATTGGATTCAAACACAAGTTCGTTATCATTAAAAATTTAAATCCTATTTTTAATGCTATTTTTGAGTGAAGCATTATTATTCAGTACAAAAGGAAGAAATGTGCTATGTCTCTTCAAGGACATTGACGCTCAAAGCTCTCCACAGCTTCCTATCCTTTGCAGCTCTTAAAAAGTTCTGTCTTTTTACTATCCTTCCCAAACTCCGTTCTGCCATCCAAGCTTGTTTGGTAGGTTACTTGCTGCCTTCCTCTGTCCCTCCTGCCTTCAATATGTCTTGTGAGTGTCACATTCTTCAAGCTGTCTTTCCTCATTATGTGTTCTAGAAATGTCAGCTGTCTTTCTGATTTTTAATCATGTCTTTTTTGTTTCCATTTTCCTTAAAACTTTGTTACATTTTCAGTCTATGGTATCCTCAGCATCCTTCTGCAGAAACACATTTCTTTTGCCTGAAGTCCCTTTTTCATCTGTGAGGAGATTGTCCAGCATTCAGTGCCATTTCATAATAGTTCACTCTTTTTTGTTTCTAATTGTTATATACCTATGAACACTAATGGGTGTGTCCCAATCCTCATAAATATGTTGGACACTATTGTAAAAGGCGGGTAATATGCTGTCTAAGTAGCAGTGATTTAGCTACTTCACAAGGCTGACGAGTATTGTATTTTGTTGATGTTATAAAGATTACCATTTGATTTCCAACCTCCATTTTGGTTATTTCTTATTCACTAATCCTTTCTAGGTTACAACACTAACAAAATTTTTCCTATTTCTTAATACTTTGCTTAGCTTTTTGAAAGCATCTTTTTGCTATTCCACTGCACTAGATTTTGGTGTCACATTTTCTGTCCTATTTTAAAACATTTCCCAGATATAGAAATTTTCATACTTGCTTGATTCCAGTTCCTTCAGGATTGCCTCACTGTATAGGTTGAATAAGTTTGGTATATTAAACTCCTTTCTATTCTTGGGCATTTACATAATTAATAATAGAAGTAGGAGGAGGTTTTTTTTTTCCTTTTTTTTTTTTTTGTTGAAGAAATTTTTCAACCACCCACCTGAACTTATCACAACATCTTGTTTATTAATTTCATACTTTTTGACAGACTAAATAATTTTCCAACCCCACTCCACTTTTGATAAGAATCTCCATCTTTTACATATAAAGATAATTAAAACCCTTTGATTATTAAAATTCCCTATGAGGATTAAGTAGAGTGATTAAAGAAATTTCAAGTCAGAAAAGATTACAGAGAAATGTTTGTCTCATTTTTTTTGTATATCTGAGAGTGAGGCTTAAAACTTTTTGAACAGTCTTCATAGCTCTTATATTTAACATGTTATGATATCCCTGGCATACAGGCTACATGGGAAACGACTTTCTGCAATCCCTGTTCAAAGACTGGTCTCTGTGTATCAAAACTACATGTACATTAATTCAAAAATTCTTAGTACAGTGAAACCTCAGTCCATGAATTTAATCCATTACTGAAGGCCATGTGTAACCAAAAATGTTTGTAAACTGAAACTATTTTTCTAATAGGAATCAATATAGAGAAAAACGTTACAGTACAATAAAATTGGGAAAGAAAAGCACGTCACAAGACACGAATGTATACAACACGGTGATCGACTCAGAAATTATTCCATTTGGGTAAACTTGGTTCAGCAATGTTGTTTGAGAACTGAATTTTCTGTTTGATAACCGAGGCATTTTCATCTTGAATTTTCTGTTTGATAACCGAGGCATTTTCATCTTGAATTTTCTGTTTGAAAACTAACATGTGAGATGTTTGAGAACCGAGGTTGCACTGTATATTAAATCCAGATCAGTGCAGTTTCTAAATTCAGGATTGTCCCATGTGACAATAAACTAGTGCTGGCTTGTAAATTTGATGGCATAGTAATTTTGAGTTCAATCCCTACACCGAGGAGTATGGACTTTTTCCTCTTCCTGTCCCATAACCTACCAGTGCCATACAGGCACAACATGGTGGTTTGTGCAACACAAATCCTCTACTTGATCTGGTTGATAGCTATCACCTGGGTTCCTTTCTTCAGTCCATTCAACAATCTGATCATCTCGTTTGTTTCCTGGCCGTCCCATTCTGCTTCCTTCTTGTACCATTCCTTGTAGCATGGTCTTGGAGAGGTCTTGCAATTGGTTACATGACCATAGCACTTCAGCTTACTCTTCTTTATGATAGTCAACACATCTTTGTAGCCATTTATCTCTTCATGCATAATATGGTCAGTGTAGGAAATACTAAGCAGACATCTGAAGTATCTGCTTTCTGCAGCTTGGATCCATCTTTGCAACCCTGTTGTTAGAGCCCATGACTCGCATGTATACAAGAGAACTGACAAGACAAGGGCATGCAAAAATCTCGGTTCATTTTTGTATCTTCAGATCAGTTTCAACCATCTCATCACAGCTATTGTCAATGTAATTCTCACATTGACATGGCTTGAATCCATCTTGGCTGATGATTGCACTAAGAATCAAACTTACTGAAAACAAGCAAGCAATAACTGAACAGTACGAAATAAAACAAGACAAAATATCCCTGGACATGGACAACAGAACAAGAATAATGTACTCCTTTTGATTAAATAAAGTGTTCAATTTAAAATTTCCTGAAAGCTACTCGAATCAGCAGACAACTGAAGAAAGCAAAATGGTCAAAAAATTGTGATAATATCAACAAAGATGAGGACATTAATTTGAATGTGAAAATTGCATTTTTGTTTTTAATTTCTATAGTGTGTAGTCAAATCTGCTATCTGCTCATATAAAATAAGTGTTGGTATTAAATATTCTCAATTGCCCAAATGTTATTTTAATATAAATATGTGTCCCTGTATATAATTTTTAAAAAAAAATGAAATTCACAAATTTGCTTGTCTTGTACACTTGATTGAAAATGCATATCACACAGAATATACTGTACAAGATGACTCTTAATTAATCATCAGACACTCAACTGCTTCAATTATCAGAGGGAGGGGACCAGTGACCCATAGAAACATACATTGATTATTCTCCATAATGATCCTTTCAGTGAGATTTTAGATAGCTTGGAAACACTAATCTCCTCTCCAAGCTCTTCACCGACAACTAAAGACCACAGAAAAAAGGTGTGGGTTGCCTTTGGTCCATAAACTAGGCCCTCAGGTTTTTAATTCAGAGTTGTCCTTCTCCTAGACCAGTTACCACCCAAGGCTATAGGACCCAATCTGTCCTGCTATTTTACCCATAGCTGGGGGATAAAAGATTGATTCATACATTCCCCAAGGGTACTAACATATTTATCAAAAAGGCTACAACACTGTAAAGCAAACAAGTCTTACATCTTTTTTGGGTCGGTCAAAAACCTTCGGCTCATCTCCAACAGGAACAACATGAAGAAGAATTAGCTCACAATGGTTGATTGGCAAGGACCTGAAAAGGAATTCAAAATACAATTTGTATAAAAGGAATTCATTTTATAAAATTGATCATATAAAGTTCAATATTTGTCATTTGATAGGCAATGAAATGGAAACAAAAACTAATGATTGTTATGAATTATATTTGTAAGTGAAGAGAATTCAACAGAAAAAATATAGTTACAGTGAGAATGCTAGTCTGAGTAATTCAGCAAATAAAAAAACATTTCACTTCTGGCAAGATATTTCAGACATGTTAAGAAAATTTCTAAATAGACAATTTAGATCTAAGTTAGAATTGCCAGTGCACTGCATAGCTACATTGAAGATCTGGCAGATTCTTTTTACCTTATCGAAGATTATCATATCAGACTGAAAAATAAATCAGGACCCCACTCAGGAGCTACAAAACATAGAGGTTAAAATCATAGCAAAAATAAGTGATGTATATGGGACATCTCAAAAAAACAAAAAAAATAAAATAAAATCAAGATTAGATGAATTAAAAATTCAAAGAAGAGATGAGACTGTCCAGAATTGCTTCTGTCAGTGAAGTTAGTGAGGAAAGTGCTGAAGATTTGAGAAAATTTGTCATTCAGTTCCAGACATCTTTACCACCAGACATGTGATATGAACATCAAAAAGCAAGAAGAAATAATAACACAGAAAAAGAGCAATGAATGCACAGAATGAAACAGTAAACCACAAAGTGACCCAAAAAGGATACATGACAGGGTAGCAACAGATGTACACTGGGAATTGTGCAAATGACTTGAATTCAACTATGTGAACAAAAGGTATCACTACAAACTAGAGACTGTTAAGAAAAAAAAATAATCAAGCACCAAGATTGCCAACTCTATCCAAACAAACAGTTGAGATAATATGATCATGGAGGTGATAGTGCAGCAGAACTCAAAAGAGGGTCAGAAATTAGAATAGCAATAGGACCTCACCTGGGAGATGACAAATATATTAGAATCATTGCAATAATAGCAGCAACAGTTGGAAATGAGCCCAAAACACCAGATTATGCGATTTTAGTGCAACAAGAAATAAAAATAAGCCAAATGAGAAAGGGTTGAAGAATACAAGAAAAATGGGGGAAAAAATTTAAAAGCTGTACAGAAAATTTAAGCTGCAGACAAAAATATTGCAGATGAAAAATTGTAGACATGGATAGACGGAAGATATCTAAATGAAGAAATGAAGTTTCTCTTTATCACAGCATAGAATAAATACATCAGAACAAATTATGGCAAAGTGAAGATTGGCAAAACCTGGAAAATGAGCCAATATCACCTCTGCGGGGGTAAAGTAAAGTATATAACAAATGTAGATTTCACTGACCCCAAAAGAAATACATGATAGGGTTGCAACAGCTGAAAACTGGGAACTGTGCAAATGACTTTAATTCAAATATGTTAACAAATTATATCTCTACAAACCAGAGAATGTTTAAGAAAAAAAAAAATCATTGCAAAATACACCCAAACTGACCACCTCATCTAAATAAGGAGATATGATAATTGAGATAAGGAAAAAAAAGACACTGCCAGATTGTGAATGCAAAAGAATACATAGGACCTTGCCTGTAATCAAAAAAAATTTGGAATATACACTAGCGAAAATAAATTCAAGACCGATTGTTAAAGTTTTATTCATTTCAGAATATGTTTCTAATAAAACAATAGAAATTAGTTTTATTGTTTACGCTTTATGCTGAATTTATTTCTCTTTTGAATGATGTAAAAAAACACATATTTTTCTACAAATTTTAATGCTGGATTAATTTAAATTATGCAAATTTGCCAGCTAAATAAGTTTAAGCCTGCATGGGTATTATTATATTTGAGGGGGACTTGCTGTCATTCAATCACCCATTGATAACCAGAGAGCAATTCTATATTGATTCATTTAGTCCAGCTTTTGGTTTCAGCCACTGTCACTTCAGGCTTTTCGCATCTGCTGTATTTCATAATCTTCTAAGCATGTTAAACACAACCCTTTACCTCATCCACTCGCAGTATGCCATTTTTATTCCTTTGCTTGTCATATCCAGTATCCACCCAACAGGATCTCAAATCTCATTAATTCATCCTTACGTCTCTCCAGTGAGATACAGTGTATATATCAGCCTGACTTCCAGGAGAAGATGGCAGATGTGACAAGCATAGAAATGAAAATAATATTTTCCCATGGATCAATAAGTAAGAGATTTTGCTTAACATTCCAAGGAGGTTACTGCATATAAAAGGCACCTGAAGAAAACTGGAAAGTAGAGTGGACGAAACATTGTAAAAAAGACAAAAACTGGTCTAAATGAATCAATATGAAATAATATTATCATCATCGTTCGACTTCCTTGTAGTTGGTTGGAACTCCATCAACAATGTTCAGTCCTGCATTGCCATCCTCAGGTCCCAAATATCCAATCCTGAGTTCCAAGCCATGATGTCTGGGAAAGTCAATTTTCGTGAGAAGACACATGCAGAAGGATGCCATAGAGCTAAGGATGAGATGACCTTCCCGTCCCTTCGTTGGCAGTGGCCAGCAAACCACAATCGTTTTTGTCTGAGCTAATAATAACACCTGTCTCATTAATTTAATCATGAAAAAAAAAAAAAATACAGCAGCAGAAAATCTAAGAAATGCTGACTGTCTTCAAAACAAAATCAAATTCATAATACAAAGTTCCAAAGAATAAGAATTGTTTTATTTGCTCTTGGAACAAAGAGAACATTATGCAAATGTTTCTAAAAACAATAGCAAGAAAGTCTGAAAAACTGCTGACAAATGCAAGTGGCAGAAAATGGTGATGCCAATTTCTGCAGACATCAGCAGTTAGTCCTCTTTTAAGGGCACTGATTTCGTTAAGTACAAATTTTGTGTCAATAAACAGACTGCATCTCTTGAGTTAACAAACAAAAACAAGAGAAAAAAACAACAATAATAAAAAGACAAATAAAACAAATAATGATATTGAGGAGGAGGAGGATTCAATTTCTGCCCTTCCCCCTCCTCTTTACTAAATGACAGGTTGTATGCCATAATCATCTGAACAAATAGATTTATTGCTCTCTCCTCTCCTTACTTATATAATCATAAATAATTGAATATTCTTTTCACTTTGCTTTTCTTTACTCAACTGATAATTAAATAAAATAAATAAGTAATAATAATAATGATGATGATGATGATGTTTGTAATAAATGGCTGGTGATTCACTATAAGCATTATTGTTTACATGGTAATCTCTGCCCTTTCATTTCTTCACCAGAATAACAAGAATCAATAGAAAATCATACATCCCTATTAAGACTAACAGGGTGCAGTAATAAACGGTAACTCCTACTGGACCACCAGCAGCAGCACCACCACCACCACCACCGCTTTATTGTTTTCTTTTCTATCAAGAATTAAATTCAGAGAAGGAGAAACAGAAGGAGAAAGAACAAAAACAAAAAGAGAAGGAGAAAGGAGAAAACAAAAAAGGAGAAAGAAGAAGAAGAAAGGGGAAAGAAGAAGACTAAGAGAAAAAAGAAGAAAACAAAGAGAAAAAAGAAGACAAAGAGAAAAAAGAAGAAGAAAACAGAAAAAAGAAAAAGAAAACAAAGAGAAAAAAGAAGAAAACAAAGAGAAGAAAGAAGAAAACAAAGAGGGCGAGAAGAAAGAAGAAAAAGAAGAGGGTGAGAAGAAATAAAAAAGGGAAGAAGATGGAGGAAGTAATAAACAAAGAAGAAAAGAATGTAGAGGAAGACAAAAAAATGAAAAAAGAATAGAAGCAAGAAAAAAAGAAAGAAAAATGGAAGCAGGAGAAGATAAAAGGAAAGCAGGAGAAAGAAGATAAAAGAAAAGTGAAAGAAAGAAGAACAAAAAAAGGACAAAGAAAAAATAACAGCTGGTGAAAGAAGAAGAAAAAGAAAATAGGAGAAGGAAGTAGAAAAAGAAAAGGACAAGTACAGAGGAAAGAAGAGGAGTTAGAGAAGAAAGGAGTAAATGAAAAGGAAAGAAGAAAAAGAGAAGAAAGAAGAGAAGGAGAGGAAAAAGAAGAGAAGAAGAAAGAAGAAAAAAGAAAAAAGAGGAAGGGAAGAGGAAAAAGAAAAAGATTTAAAAAATAAATAAGAAGAAATCGCTATAAATCACATTCTGTTGTGTGAAATAAACAACAATGCATTGAAATCAGACTGATTACAAAGTTATCAGGATGTACCAATTTCCAAGGGAAATGTCCAAAAAGACATCTGGAAAAAGTTATTTGCAAAGTTGTATCAAATTTAAAACATACAAACTTGGAAGCGACCAAATTGTGAAAATATTATTCAGTAAAGAATCAAGAATAGCACTTAGATTTAATTTTGCATCTGTTCATTGTTTATAGGAGGAATTATTCAAAACCTGGTGAACAACTTCAGATTTACCATTAAAACATATTTTCGTATCAAGACAATCAGGAAGAATGAGAGACACCAATTCCATAAAAGAACAGAAGAAATGCTAGAAATAAATTCCATTTGCATCTGTTTTCCCTAGCAATTGGAATCTTAATTTCTTGTACAACCCAAAACAACAAACCTAATTTACATCCAAGCAGAAAAATTAAACAAAAAGCAACAAGTGTCCTCAACCAGAGGCTTATGGCAAAGTCAGAATAAATAACTTTCAAGGAACTGGTGAAGTGACTGTTCAAGATTCTTTTTTTTTTTTAAAGCTAAATTATTTACCTAATACAAGGCCCAAATGTCATTCAAGGTAGACAATTACTGAAAGAGGCTGTTCTATGAACATAATTGGAGGAAGTATGAATTAATTACGAGGTTATGTAGGATAGACATTTGAAGAGATTAATATTGATCAGGGAACCATCCTTTTGGGAATTGGTTCCGCAAAGTTTTCCAAATACAACTTCCTCCTTACAAATTGAATACGAAGAGGAGGACAGTGATTTAACCCTGTGTACATAGCAATAGCAGGCCATACGGTTAAATGTCTGTAAATTCTTAACCCATGAAATGTCTGGTTACATCAACAACCAAGAAGTTATTTTATGATATGTACACTCATTACGCATACAGTATTTGAAATCATAGACATGGCTACACAGAAGATACCTGAATGAAGAAATGAAGTTCCTCCTCATCACAGTCCAAACCAATTACGTCCGAACAAATTCTATCAAAGCGAAGATTGGCAAAATCCCAGAAAAAGAGCTGATATCATCTCTGCAGGGGAAAAGATGAAAAAGTAAAGCAAATAACGAATGGAGATTTAGCTGACCCAAAAAGTATACCTGATAGGGTTACAACAGCTGGACACTAGGAACTGTTTTTAACAGAAACAACAAAAAAGTCATTTTATGATACGTACACTCATAACATATACGGTATTTGAAACTATATTAAGGCATTAAGTCAGAAAACATTTTGAAATTTCAGTGCACATGAAATTCACTTTTTTTTCTCTTTTTTTAACAGTAAGGTTCACCCTGTATAAGACCCAGGGACCATTTAAGGTAGACGGTTACAGAGTAAGAAGCACATTTTATGCGTACAGATAGGGAAGATAACAGTTAACCCCAGCCTTGAACAGGTTAAGATTGTAATGATCAGGGAAACATCCTCTCAGGAGTCAATTCCACAGAGCAGTGGTTTGCGAGAAGAAGCTGTTCAAGTGGAACTTACTTCTCACCGATGGAATACAGAAGGAATATGGGCAGTTAGCTACTATGTAAGCAGTATGGACTGTCCTTGCTGTGAAGGTCTGAACTGGCAGAACCAGGCAATGTAGTTCATCTGAACACTTTCTGTAGAAGTAGTGATATAGCAATCAGAGGCTTGCCACATCTTGCCTGTGTGTGAGAGAGAGAGAGAGAGAGAGAGAGTTTGGAGGGTGC